CTTTCTAGAATGGCAAAATGACTCCTGCAAGCTAAGGCCAAGAGGGAGAGAAGTGTGCTGAGCAGGTGGAGTAGGAGAAAGGTCTGATTGGAGGGAACAAAGCAAATTGGGAAGTAAGGCTGGAGAGAGAGAGTATTGGATAAGATTTTGAAGGTCTGGAAAGCCAGACAAAGGAATTTAAACAATGATAAAGTATGTAAGAGAGCCATAAAAGGATTGAGCAACGAGGAATGTGATGAAAGTGAAGTCAGATGAGGTGGGTGGAGAGAGCCTAAAGTTAGAGAACTGGATCAGAGGTGAATACTGTAGTGAACTAAGCAAAATAGATGAAGGTAGTCTGGAACAGGCTAGCATTGGAGGTGGAGGTTGACAGAGACATTTTGATAGATTACTAGCTGAATACAGACACTAATTGGCAAGGTTAAGTCAGAGTGGCCTTAACCCAGGAGAAGAAATTAAGTCCAGTAGTAGAAATCCAGTTTTCCAGTAAAGTGGAGCTTTAAAGGTTCTAATGATTTAGTAATCTCCTTGAGAGCATGCCACAAGTAGGCTCACAGGTGTACTCATTTTAGAGTTGGCAGAGATCTTTGTTTTCCAGATGACAATAGAGAGGACCAGAGATGTTCGGTTAATTGCTCAAAGGCAACCAATTAAGTGGAGAAACAATGGGCTAGAATAGCTGTGGGCAAACTACGGCCCCCGGGGCCGGATCCGGCCAGTTTGAAATGAATAAAACTAAAAAAAAAAAAAGACTGTACCCTTTTATGTAATGATGTTTACTTTGAATTTATATTAGTTCACACAAACACTCCATCCATGCTTTTGTTCCGGCCCTCCGGTCCAGTTTAAGAACCCATTGTGGCCCTCGAGTCAAAAAGTTTACCCACCCCTGATCTATACTAATAAAAGGGTATTATGCTAATTAAACAGGGAGACCTTCAGGGACAACAGCCAGAGAAGGCAGTTGGGGGCCATCAGGTTGGTAGGCAGAGTGGTCAGGGGCAATTGGGCAGGCAGGCAGGTGAGCAGTTAGGAGCCATTGGTCCCGGATCTCGAAAGGGTGCAGGCTGGGCTGAGGGACAGCCCCCCATCCCCTGTGCATGAATTTCATGCACTGGGCCACTAGTGTTGGATATAAGGGGCTTGAAAATCAAGGCAACTCACATTTGGATTTCTCAGTTTGCCTGACCATGAGAAGTCAATTTTTAAGAAAGAGGATTTACCCTTTCTGTGCCCAGGCCCTGCCAGCTCAGTTTCAATTCATATGTATAAGGACTGTCTATCTGGTTGGGCTTCTAAACAAAAATTGATGTTTGCTTTATTAATCCTCACCTCAACATGACTGGACAAAGTGAGGACTGTCACTGACTGCCAGCCTCATCAGGCAATATTTTCATACTCCTCTCTGGGGAAAAAAGTGAAACAATACCCGTGACAGATGGTCATCCTGTCTCTCTATGTTTTCAGGGGTGGGGCAGTCCATTCCTTTGTCAAGACAGATCTGATTACTAGAAAACTGAGTCTGAGTCCTATGCCACTGCAGTGTGATTCAGTGAAAATACACAGGGGAATCAAGCAGAATTGAGTTAGAATCTTAACTATGTAATTTGCTGCATGACTTGAGCAAGTTATCTTCTATCCATGTTATTCATTTCAGCTGTATATTACAGATAATACCCGTTTTACATAATTACTATGAATATTAGAGATTATGAATGTAAAATGTCTAGCACAGTGCCTGGCACAAAGAGTTAATAAAGTGATAGCTGTATGGTCATCATCATCATCATCATAATTATTATCCCACTCATTGGTACTAGTTTGCCTTGTGGTGTTAAGAATATATGCCTATCTTTCAATACTTTCAAATACTTGAATTAGTTGTCATGTTATTTCTAAGTGTTCTTTTTTTTTTTTTTTTTTTCAGAGTAAGCATCCACCAATAGTTTCTCTCTTGGTTATCCTGCCCCTGGCTCTGCTCCTATATGTGATGTTTGTAGAAAATGGTGTCCATAAATGAACAAAGTACTCTAGGTGTGGTCTGAGTATTTCAAAACAGAGTAAGACCATAAGCCTCTATTCTCCAGACATCATTCCTCAAGCTGCCTAGGACTCCTTCAGCTTTTTAGGCAACCATGTCCATACTGACTTAGTCCTATGAAAACCTCCAGGTAGTTTTCATATGAACGAGTTTTAAGTTTTCCCCATTTTGCACTTGTGTAGGATTATTGTTTTACTTCAAGAGTAAACTTTTTATTAACTGAAAGCCTATTACATATTAGGTATAGTTCTGAGTTCTGTGGACATAGGGATGATGACTAAGATAAAATATAACCATACTAGAAATGTAGGCTCCACAAGACTGGGTCTATCATGTTCACCAATGAATCCCATTTCTTGGGATAATGGCTGTACACGATTTTGTGGTTACTGTTGTTGAATGAGCAAATAAAATAGTTTACACTGGAATATTTTCTTCTAAGTAAAAAGGCATTTCCCCAATTGACTTATTTAAAAAATTCAGATATTTTGTACAAGCCTATCACATTTAGCCCAAATGCTAGGGTTTTTTCCCATCTAGGGTACACCCAATTTTCAAAACAAACTTGTACTGTCCCTTTCAAGGCCAAATTAAATACTTACATACTTTATTTGCCGGATGACCATTACATTCCACGATTGAAAGCCTTTGATAAGTATTTGTTTGACCTTTAATGCAAGGCTTACATCTCAGGGTTAGCAGCAGCAAACCAATTTTGTGAGTACTAAACACTCAAGAATTTTCAGAACCGAGTTCTACCGGGCCCTGACTTGCTGTGGGGGCAAAATAAGGTCTTTGGGAGAAGTGTGGGGAGATGGCTTAGGAGGACCTTGAAATTCTGCATTGGTCTGTGAAGTGCTGCAAAGCGCTCATGGGCCCAGCGTTTCTGGGTTGAAATTCATCCCGCAGACATCAAAGACATGAAATTTGGGGGTATCCAGTTCTCTAAAACCACAGTTACGGCGGTCCTAGAAACTCTAGATCCTCTCACAGGTTTTTCCACTATTTGGGCTACAGGTGAGGCACTGGTCGCCATCTTGATATCAAATGCCAGGCAAGCCGCCACTGGCGTCGCTCGGTAACCAAGGAGACACCCGTGCCCCTCCCGCTTTCCAGCCCGTAGAGGCTGTGAACTACGATTCCCATCAGCTGATGATCGCGAATTGAAGGCTGGATGACTGCATTTGGCTCG